GTATCCAGACATATATATAAACGGAACAGTCTAATATATTTTCTTATAGAATGGTAAGATGTGTAAATAGAAAAAGAAACAATAAAAGACGAGTTAAAGGGAGGAGGAGATAAAAAGGGACAGAGTGAGAGTATTGATTTCGTCCATTGCAGGCTGGCTGTGCTCGCTCCGCTCCCTGTCCGTCAGACGAACTTGTTGCTGAGATCAGCTGACCTCGGTGCCTGTGATCGTCAGTATCCCGGATGCCCGTTGTTTTCAACTCTTTTGTAATTAAAAAATATATAAAATATATGTAGATAGTATTAGCTTAAGGAGAGTGAAATGACATATCTATGCCGGTTTACATGCATTTATGTATCCAGTCTATGTACTCATCTATGTTTACATGTGTGTGTCTGTATGAGGACTGTAAAGATATATTTTATGAAGTTCATCGAAAGGCACAATAATCTATTTATGGATTTAAAAAGACATCATCGTGTTTTAATCTAGATCCTTGTTTTTAGTTCAGCACAATTCTCAAAGGTATAAGATGGGATTTGTTATTACAATTTTTTTTTCATTTTCCGAAATTACTTCCTCTTTGCATTTACTCTCTCCCTTTCCCTCTTTGTGGCCCCATCCAGGCGAACAGGTAGTGGCCGGTGATATTTCACGCTTGTTTTGTAGCGTTACCAGATCGAGCATTCCTCAGCTCCCAACAGCTACCACTGTGTGCCCCTCATCCGTGTTGTTGACACGGGTGAGGGGCATACGGCAGACCGAGCTATTGTGAAATGGTAACCGTAGTGACTGTCCACCTAACCACCCTCTAAACGCTGGTTCGGAACATTATTTGGTTCGTGTTTGCCCGATGGGTAGTGCCCGTTCGTCTGGATGGTGCCGGAGGCTTTGTTCTCGCCAGTGTTTTTAGATGCAAAGAAGGTTGCTGCTGTGTTGGTCTTTCCATCGGCACGCGAATGATGAAGGGGTGCACTTTGGCTTCTCCTTGGATAATCGTGGTATATTATTGGGGACTGTCATTACAATCCCCACAAAAATGCGAAGAATAATTTCTCAATTCTTAGAAAAGATAAAATACACCAAGGAGCATCAAGTGCAAATAAGTATTTATAAATATCCTGATAGATTATATATATGTAAATATTTCCTAAACATTCATATAGCCTCCTTTTAACATATAATCAATTTATTTATACAAAATACTATTTTTCTAATAAAAATAAGTGATATGAGTCATTATGATAAAGTTATAAGGAATTTTGGAAAAAAATATATATGAGTTCCTAGATGGACATAGAAAATGAAATCAATTAAACATATATTTAATTCGTTTTAGCTATTTATGGCGGATTTAGTATAGTCAGCCTTGCAAAGTACGACCGTGTTTTTTTTCATCATTATACATTATTCACTTTGTTTGCTTTTCACTTTGTCATATCCGCGTCTTCTAATATTTGCTTTTTCATTGCACGATTCTTTGGGAGCATCTATTGAATACCAGACTGTAGGAGTATTTCATTTTTCAATAATTTACAATAAGCTTTTAGCGCGTACGTCCTATGAATATTTACCAGCTTTTTATAGCGAGGTTTTACTTGGGACTTTTTCAGTAAGTAATTCCTGTCCCGTAAAAACATTTAATGTGAAGGGCTTTTAGTAGTATATTATTTTATAGATTCCAAGGTTTGCACACGGGATTAGGTTAGTCATCCCTTGCTTGGCCCCAGGCTTTGCCCGTGTTCTTGTCTTCAGATTTTCGTTAAGCTTGAAGGTTATAGCGATTTACCTGAATTCCTAACGTCGGTTTAACCCAAAGAACTTCCCTGTAAAAAGAGACAAAGATGTGACTTTCCCTCGATCAACTACATAAAAAAATATGTGGAACATATATTCGAGCCAAAAAAGTACAACAAAAGAACTGGTTACCATATTTTTTTAAGGGTTGTAATTCTCTACACAATATTTATGTGATATACTGTGTTTTTTTGTTTTATAGAAACTTTCATATAAAACCGTTGTTTATAAAAGAAAAAAAAAGGTTAATTGCCTTTCAATCAGCTTTAATTTGCCCGCGCAGATTCCGTTCCGGGAAGATCTAGAGATGCCTATTATTTCTTTGCTGCACCTCCTTGATTAAAAGTTATTTATCATATTAATAAAATTGACGTTACCGTGCTAATATAGTCATAATCATGAATATTATAATTTTCGTTGCAAATACATATATCTATTTCTTCACTGTTGCTATGATGAATACGCCTTTAAAGTTCCTGAAATACTCTTCACCATATGATTTTGTGAAATGAAAAAAAAACTAATTCATTATTTACCATTCCTAATCAAAGTGTACTAAAACTTGACCATAGATAGATGGTTCTTCCAGTTATTTTTATATATATATTTTTTTTTTTGAAGAAAACAAATTCGCTTCATTACAATCTCCATATGCAATAAAAATCCAAGTTATTTTCATGAAGTAATTGCTATGAATTATTCAAAATCAATGAAAACTCTAGGCCTTTTTTCCGAAAGCCCTCGCCGTGATTCGAACTAATCTCTCACTCATTTTGTGGAATTTTCAAGTTTTACATCCCCTCTGCTACCTTTATTATTAGTTTGTGAAGGCAGTGATGTAGAAGAAAAGTGTCCTAGAATGTTACGTTCTATCGGATGGCAAGGCCATATTCATCTCTGGTGTTAGGCGTCATTTCCAATGCCATTATTTCATCCTTTGTTAAATACCCATAAACTGCTATGATATTATTACACTCTTTGCTGCCCAGTCCCACTCCTGAATACCTTATTTGCCAAACCCCTCCCATTCGCCATACTTTCCTAGCCCTGTCCCTGGACACTTCCCAATTACTAAATTTTCTATTCGAAAGCTTTACTCATTACCATATTCGATGCTTTTAGAAGGATAGAGTAGATTTACCTTTTAGTGGAGGGTAACGACGTGCGTGGGTGGTTAGGAGGGTGACAAACTTAATTTGCGTAGGGTATGTGCAGCTTTGCTGAGATTAGTATTATCCCTAAGATAAGTTCATGTCACTGGAATAGTGTAAGATTTTGTAAACAAACGTTCCTTCCCAAACGAGCAATAATCACTGTGACAATAGAACTGTCCAGTTTGTCGGTAGATGGCTGACTATGTGCAACGTAAGCATATGACACGTATTCCCGTTTTATATGTTTGCCGATTAGTTCGTCTAAAAAAATCATTTCATTCAGTTTAGCCGCAATATCTGTTAATATCGGTTACATGAACTCGTAACTCCCATATAAGTAATGTTTATAGTTTTAGGTGGTTAATGCTTTAAACCTGGGATACTCAACTGGCGACCCGCGGTCTGAATCCGGACCTTCTGAGTGTTGTAACGGGACCCCTGGCTCCAGGAGAAAAGGTTAATTAAATAAGATGAAGGTCCTGGCGATGGACTCTTTAAATGTGTATTTCCTCGACTAACTGTAGGTTATGTTAGGGGATATATGGGGACACGATGAAGTACTCACATTGGTGGTTTTATTTTCATGATTGCATGTTAAACATCTATCCGGACCTTTGCATATATTGGAACTTGTCTAATTGGATCTTTGCTCATAATGGTTGAGTAGCCCTGCTTCAAACAAATAAATGTGCTAGACATCAAAGGTCATATAACACTAGTTACTTTTGGACATTTAGCTTAGCAAGAATTTCTAGAATATGGTTTCAGGTAGCTAACGTTGAACGACCTCTCTCTGTTGTCTTCTCTTCTCTTCTCTGTCTTTTTTTTCTCTTCTCTGTCTCTCTTTTTTTTCTCTTCTCTTTCTCTCTCTTCTCATCTCTTCTCTGTCTCTCTCTTCTCTTCTCTTCTTTCTCTTCACTTCTCTATTCAGTCTCTCTCTTCTTTCTCTTTTCTTTTTCTTCCCCTTTCTTGTCATTTCTTGTCTTGTCTTTTCTTGATGTGGTGATTTGCAATGCCTTCCGGGAACCCAAATGCCATATTTATGTTTATGCCTAAAAGTATTGGGGAACCAAGCACAGTGGACTCCTAAGATTCTTGTTACAACACAGGGTGGATTCAGACAATTTTCCAGAGTACTAAGGGAAGGCAAGAAGTTTTGACAGGGTAAAAAAATTATTAGATAAGTTAATGTCATAATTGTGTCATTCTGTTATTTGTTTGAGTGACTTGTAGCTTGTGTTTTTATTTTTAAATCCTCTGCCAGTGACAAATGCTGGCTGGTATCGCACTTTGGACATAAGACTATGCTGATGTTTCTTTTATGACTCACCCAGTAATTTTTTTATTAAATCATTTAACAAGAAAACAAGAAAATCTAGCTACAAGTTCATTAAATTTTGTGTGAAGACTCAAGGCTGATTGACACTGAAATACAAACCGATGAAACACGATCAGTCATTCTGGCTCATCCATCACTAATTTTGATAACATTAGGGCTTTGATATTCAATTATTTTATAGGAAAGCCATTTTGGTACACTAAATTCACTATGAGGTCTTCTCTTTCTGCAGGAATTGTTTCCCTACCAGTTATAAAATTATAGCAGGTCACTTCACTTATTTCTTTTTAAACTTACAAATATTTTTATGACAAAGAGATTGATACTAATTTATATATATTTTACACACCATAAGAAAAAGACTTATTTAATATCTTCAAAAGTCATTAAAACGTGAAATATTTCTCGGATGGAGAATTGCCAAGTAGGCTGTTGGGAGCTGCATGCATCTCTCTAGTTCCTTAGCTTGTGTGACTGCAATATAGTTTCCAAAATGTCTTAACCCTGAAATCCCTTAGCAAAAGAATGCTGAAGTTGGGGTCCTGCTACATATTTGATTAAAAGAACTTTATCTTTAAAAATGGTGGAAACAAAGAGGCATTTTGATTTCATTTCATGTTATTCATATAGGTATTTTTCTCTTTCATTTGTGAACTTTCTGAGTGCATCAACTTATATTTCTAAAGATGGCCAAATAAAATACTTTCACCTTAGGAATCACATATTTATTGACAAGTTTCAGGGAGAAAAAGCATATGTGAAAGATGTACAAAAATATATACTACGAAATTCACATCATTCACATAGTTGACTTACAGTATGTGTAGAAAACGATCCTTTTTTTTCTCATCATCTGAAAAAGACCGTCTTTTTCTTTAAACATTGCATTTCAAAACTGCTACATTCAGACACTATAAACTTACATAATATAGATTATCTGATCACAACACAATTTCTAAATAAATGGTTGCTGCTCATCAACTTATTTCTTCTGTCATGCAATGCTGACTTTCTGCTCAAGCAAAATCCCATTGTCAAAGAAAACATAAAATAAAATAAAATATCCCATGATGTCTTCTATCATGAACTCATCATGATCGCAATTCTTAAACGAATGCGACGTCAAATAATTATTGTACAGAATTCTGTATTCACTGCCTGAATAAATTTCATGTATTCCCATTCCATTATTTATCTTAAAAAGTATGGCTTTCACAAGTCGATTGTCACCAAGATGTTCAGATGAGCGTCCTCACAGCAGGCACTGTAAGTGGCAATCTGATATATTGCAAACCCTATTCTAATTAGCTGACAATATCTCAACAATCACATGATTTATTTCTCCAAAAACTAGAACATTATAATGCCCCAAAAGTAGGTATAAATGACTATTAGTGTTTCTGTTAAACACTCCAGTTTTTGGGATGGTAGTAAATAAATAAGACATAGTATTACCTGTAAGACATAGTATTACCTTTGTCTATGATTCATAATAGCGTTAAAACACATGGTAAACTCTGTCATGCATTAACCTGTCTACATGTTATTATTCACAGCTTATCAACACATCTATTAATCAACATCATACAAACATTAAAACAATAAATGCCATTGTAGACATTACAACTATCAATACACATATGCATATTCAAAATCATACACATATGCATATATTACTTTTAAATGAAGATGTACATACAAACATTATATATCTGTAAGTATACATGGACTGTAGTGTCTTTATAGCATGGGTGTATGTGATGGGGTATGATAACATGTGCATGTATGTATAAAAATGTGTGTTCCTTTTTATGTTTGCACTTATTGAAAAAATCATCTATAGTTTCCTATATAAACCCTGGGAAAAAGTAACAGCTTACACAACAAACCTGAGATGACTGATTACTGGAAGTTATCCCTCAGAGGCACTTGCTTTATCTAGCTTGGGCGTACAACAAGAAGGAGCACTTTTAGCTAAGCCAGTAGAATAGAGGTAGCAGGCGCACTTGGTCGACCATGTCCAATACTGAGCTGCTGAGGTAGCTAACTGGCTGTTAACTACATCTATGGGCTGGAACTGTTTACTTTGACATACAGTATTCCTGCCTTTATGCTACTCTCATAATCTCTGATAAACTGTGATTCAAAGGTGATCAAAAAGTCTCCCTTTAGCCCTCTCTTTATAAAGCAAACCCTTGATGCATCTTAAAAGATATAACTTGGTACAGTCTATCTCTTCTGGTCTTATAAATCTATTCCATTAACACAGATCTCAGACATGAAAATACATGGCTGCTATTAATTCTAGACAAAATAAGGTGCAGCTTTGGGGGGGCACCTCTACTCAACTATGGACTTGTATCCTGTTCATCAGCCTTAGATTCTAGTATTTTTTATTTCTCTCTCCTCGAAACAATTTCTACACTTGTTACCATTTATATCTTTCAGTAATATCATTCACTTGTGCCAATGATACTTCACATCAGCTATCACAAGCATAGCATGAGCTGTTCATCACATGGCTCCTTCTAGACAGAAAAAAAAAAGAAAAAAGAAAAGATTTTCACTGTCTTTCCAACAACACCTAAGAGACCTTATAGATATTGCGCACTGTTCCACCTATGACTTTAATTCACCCAAGAATTCACTGGAATTTTCCTGACATCAGTTCTTCAATGGCCAGAGTGCACGACTCAGGTCAGAGTGCCCTCCCAGGCATCTGATCTCTGCTTGGCCGCTAGCTTCTTCTGGGCTGAAATTTGAACAATTACAAGATTAGTCTACACATGTTTAAAGAAAGTCCTTAAGTTAATATAAATATGAAAGACCTACATTTTTATGGCTAAATTAATTTAATCTCATTCTAACAGTTTCTAACTTTTTTAAGTTCGGAATTTCAAAAACAAGGTTCCAATTCTCTTGCTGTAAAACTGAGCTACCCCGTATCAATTGCTTATCATATTTTCTATCCTCTGTTTTTTCACTGTGATTTCTAATGTCGACATCTTATTAACTCAATGACAGTAACCAATTCAGATTAAGAGATCTTATCTATAGTTGATGATACATATTGTTAATTCTAAGTGAAATATACAACAGCATGGTTAAGATTCTTATAAAACTTTCCAATGATATCTGCACTGCAAACTGACTTTAAAATGTTTTCCAATGCCGTGCAATAAGAGTAATGTTGATTTTTATCTTGGAAAATTTTACATAAAACTGTTAACAGAGTGAGCCTGTTCTCTCTTCTCTACTTTGAAGCTGTGATAAAAAAATCAATCTTCCTAAAAAAAAAAAAAATCATAATAAAGAAATAAACTATGCACTTATATTTACAAACATCCACACATACACAAACAGAATTCTAAAAAGAGCCTACAACCCAAATTCTTTGTTCTCCTTACCTTTAGCATCCTTGAGTTTCTGCCGCTCTGCTTCCCTTACTTCATGAGGGACATTCACCTTCAACCCTAGGGCTCCCGACACCAGTCTACGCGCCAGGGCTGCTGACGTTGCTGGCCGAGGTTTGTAGGGCAAGAGGGCCTCTGTGATGCGCATAGCCTTTGACCGAGAGGTTTCCGTGGCTAAAGACAAGGAGCGGGCCTTCAGGAATGGATGGTCAATACTCAGGGCTTCCTTGGCTGTGGAAAAAAGGTTCAGTGATTTACAATTTATTTAGAATAAAATGAAATGGACTGATAATTGGAATATCAATAACATTAAAAAATTACTCTTATTTCCACTTTGAAAATAGTTTATATGTTATATGGTCTATGTTACTGTTAGTCTACAGCTCAGTTATATTTCCTACTATGCAAAATGCATTTTTCTTTCCAAAATGGAATCTGATTCCAAGGTAGTCCATCACTAAATTTCCATCTGAATTAACTATTCTCTGGGTAAACAAAGACAAAGGCAGATATTTCAAGTCATAAAACAAAGACATACTCACCAATGAGAGCTGTGGCAAAGATCCCGAGGGCATGGGTGTCATCTACCCACTTGATGTCAAAGCCATTGTTCTGGTAGGGGCTGAAGATCATCATGAGATCCTGTGTCTTAAAGGAAACTGGGAAGTCATAGATCTCAATGACATGGGCATATTCATCCTCATTGATCTGAGGCTCCTTGGGCTGGTAGTCATAGTAGTCATTTGAAGGCTTGACCAGCTTCACCTTACCAATGGAGTCACTGAGCTGGCGCTTAATCTCAGGATCGAGGCACTCGCCACTGTCATCATAGAGGGTGTCCCATGAGTCTTCCACTTCATCTGCCCAATTGAAGGAGAATTTCTTCAAGTTCTTCTTCTCTTCCTTCTCCTGTTCACTGGCTTCTTCCTTTGCTTCCGCCTGGATGTCATTCTGTGTGTCATTTTCGATGGCCACTGCTTCCCTCGCTAAGGCTTCTGGGGGGTCTTCTGCCTCATCACCAAGGTCAAAGTATACCTTCCCTGAGGATCCAGCTGCTGTGCTTGAGGGTTCATCAGACACTGCATTAACATTTGACTGATTGTCCACTATATGCAAAGGCTGGCCATTCTTGGAATCAGTTTCTGCTGGATCAGATGGCAGTGTGGTTTGGTTGGCCTCTATAACTTCCCCATTACTAGAGGTATCATGTGCTGAACCCTGACTAATATCTTCACACACATGCATCTCCTCTACTCTGCTCATTTGGATATTCTGATCAGAGCTGTAGGAACTGTCAAATGAAGGGTTCTCATTAATGTTTTCTAATCTATGTTCAGCACTTCCTCCATTGATTAAGGATGGTCCCTGATCAACTGTTTCCATACTACTATAACTTGGTTCATCATGGTAACTTTGATCTAATCTGTGGGAATTAGGAATACCTGATATTCTTGAGTTATCAATACTGTTTGCTCGATGACTTCCCATCAAAGGGTTTCGATTATGTTTAACTGGCAGTGTGTGATATCTATAATTCTCTTCATTGCTTGGAGTTGGGCTTCTCCTTGTGTTCTCACTGTAGTCAAGAGTGACATTGGGCAGTGAGCCTAACCTCCCAGAAGGTGGCTTACCAGGTGAGTTTCTACTTTGGTAACCTTTGGCAGGACTTGAGGGGCTGGAGGCGCCTCTCCAATTAGTGTGGTATGAAGCATGTTGAGGAGTTCTCTCACGGCTAGAATTTCTACTGCTAGCACGGCTATTGTTAATACTACTGTATCGATCATAATTATCGTATCCTCTGTCATACCGCTCATTGGGAGAGTTGAAGTTGCTGTTGTAAAAGACTCGTTCACAGCTACCAAAGCCTCTCTCACTGTGGGGGCTGTTGTAAGGATCTCCATTCTTTGAGTTACAACCTGGTGAGCCTGTGGAGTCATTATACTTTTCAGCACTAGGTTCTCTGCTGCGGGAATTTCGCCTCCGGTTCCTTCGCCCTTTTCTTGTGCGAGAATTTGGCTCCACCGGGTGAATGACATTCTCTTTACTGTGAACACTGTGAATATCTCTAGTTGGGGTTGGGCTCTTCTGGTTCCTTCCCCGGCCTCCTCTGTTGTTTTTGGCGGGTGAGCTATGCACCGAGTCACTGTCCCAGTTGCGGTTATCACTTAGTCTGGGCTCTGAGTCCTGGTTCAAACACCTCTCAATGAGCTGCAGAGTCTGACTGTTGAACCGATTTCCACCCTTCTGTCTTCCGTTTCCTGGGGTTGACTCTCTGCTGAATTCTCCCTTTGACAAAGGAGGCTTGGATTTAATTCTGTCGAAATCTCCATCATAGATGGAAATCTGACTGCCATGACGGCTGTCATGCTTGCTATAGCGATTCCTGCCACTATACTCTGACACAACAGAACAGATGGAAAAGGTGGGTGAGGGGGCCCTCTGAGACTGTTCATAATCCTGCATTGGGGTAGGCGTTCCGCGCACGGATCCTGAATCCATGTTGCGCCTCCCCCTTGGAACGTACAGCATCTGGTCTGGACGACGCCCCCTCCCTGCCTTCCCTCCCTGGTGGTCTCCCATCACGTAACTGCTCTCACTGTCCGTTCTCTGCCTATTGGGAAGTGGGTATTGGTGCTGTGGATACTGATTATTCTGTGGACTGTGCTGTGTATGTTGGTAATAATGATTGTGCTGCTGCTGCTGCTGCTTAGGATGATAAAGTTGCTGTTGCTGCACAGGGCCAGCATCCAACCTTGTGCTGCGGGCTGGAGGGGGTCTGTAGATCTGTGCACATGCCTTGCCTGAAAAATATAATTTCATCTAGAAATAAGGTTCTTAATGCAAAGTACCACAATAATATCATACTGAATACTATTATGAGTTTTTAAGTAATTAAAGTATTCAGCTTGTCATTAGTAATAGTAATAGTAATAATAATAATAATAATATTAATAATAATAATAATAATGATAATAATAATAATAATGACAATAACAATGACAATAATAACAATATTAATATAAATAATAATAATAATAATAATAGTAATAATAATAATAATAATAATAATAATAATAACAATAATAATAACAATAATAATATTTATAAAAATAAAAGTGATTATAATAATAATAATGATAATTATAATAACAATAATAATAATAAAGAGCACCCAATACACAAAATTACAATCCTACCCAACAACTGCATCATAATTATCATAACAATAACAAAACAACAACAACCTCGCCGACGAAGGCCTACCTCTCGGGCGGCTATTGTTGCCACTGTAGTCGTCACTGGTCATGGTGACTGGCATTCTGTGGTGGTCGTGGGCGGCGTTGCTGGACGTCGCTCTACCGCCGGCCGATGACGCTTCCGCCGACCTGCTCTGCGCGAGGATTTCCCGGCGTGAGTTTAGGAATAGTCTGGAAACGAAAGGGAGAAAAAGGAAAGAATTAATGGTAAGAAACGTCATGTGGTTCTGCTTTTTACGATGATGATAAAGTGCAACATGCATTTACACAGCGAGTAATTTTTTTTGGGGGGTTTTGTATAGTTTCCTTATTTTATTTTCGTTACTACCTCACCACTTTCCTGATTTTCCTATCCTTCTCCCCCTCCCCTTCCTTAGTCTTCTCTCCTCTCCTCTTTCTCACTCTTTCACCTCCTCTTCTGTCGTCTCCCTTCCCTTCTCTCCCCTTCCCTTCCCCTCATCTCCCCTTCTCTCCCCCCCGATACACTTCCTTCCCCTCCTCTCTCTTCCTCCCTCATCTCCCCACCTCACCGCCTCCTCCTCCTCCTCCGCCTCGACCTCTAGACAAGACGCGAGTCAGTGAGGCATAAACCACACGTGAAGGTCTGTGGTTTATGAGGGTCGTGTGCACTCGAGCTGCCAATGGGCCTGGAGGCTGACGTCCGGGAGGGGGGGGGGTAGATAGGTAAGATGGTGGAGATTGGGGGGAGAGGGAGAGTCAAATAAAAGATAGTATAAGTTTATATTCACCCTTTTGACCTAGGGAGGGAGGGGAGGGGGGGGGCTCTTCGCGAATCACATGCATATGGATTATGGTGAATCATGGAAGCAAGGAAGGGGAAAGGAAGGGAAGGGAACAGGACGAAAAAAGAGAAGGGAAAGGAAAGGAAGGGGAGGGGAGAGAAGCCAAAGGAGAGAGAGAGAGAGAGACGAAAGGAAAAGCAGGGAAGGAAAAGAAGAAAAAAAAGAGAATGGAGGAGAAGAAAGGGGAGAGAAAAAAAATAGAATGGAGGAGGAGGTGGTGGAGGAGGAGGAGGAGAAGGAGGAGGAGGTGGCGGTGGTGAGTACTATAATAATAATATATATATATACATACTACATACATACATACATACATTACATATATATATATAACACATTTATGTAGGAAGCAAATGAGAATGCATGGCGGGACGTAACGAAATCTACGGAACCCGATGCCGCATTTCAATACACAAATACAAGGTGTCAAAAATATAGACAAAAGGGGCAAGGAACCGTCAACATGCTCTGTCTAGGCGCCAGACAAGTGCATCATAAATACTGTAATTTATATACAGGTGCCTCGCTTCCAACAATACCCACGAAGACCTACCACAATAGGGTCTCTGAATGCCTTACGTCGCTCAGGCACTGCAAGACCGCAGGGCACGAGCACATGCGAAATACGAGACAATAAAATCTCCCTCGCTAATCGGGCGACAAAACAACCACCAAAAACACATCCTGGGAAAAGCAAGTCAACCAGAACAAAAGCCTCGGAGTCACTCAACCCAAGCAGCCTACGCCCTCAAACAAGCCAAGGCACCCGCATGAGCCTTCCCTGGAGAAGCCACGGAGGAAGGGGGGGAGGGGTAGCCTGCTAAATGTGAACTCGATTTTGATAAACACAACAAAGAAATGGAACGGATAAATTTCAAAGTAATGAGAAAGAGAGAGAGAGAGACGAGAGAGAGAGAGAGGAGAGAGAGAGAGAGGAGAGGAGAGAGAGAAGAGAGAGAGAGAGATGAGAGAGAGAGAGAGGAAGAGGGAGAGAAGGAGAGAGGGAGAGAGGAGAGGAGAGAGAGAGAGGAGAGAGAGAGAGAGAGAGAGAGAGAGAGAGAGAGAGAGAGAGAGAGAGAGAGAGAGAGAGAGAGAGAGAGAGAGAGAGAGAGACAGACAGACAAAACAAGACAGGGGGCGGAATTAAGCCCAGAAAGGGTGGGCGGGACGAAGCGGGGACGAGACAGGGTCGCGGGGGGGGGGGGGGGGGGACGCTTCTCGGAATCGCCGTCAGAGTCTAGGTCAGTGCCGCTGCGCTTTCTCGTTCCGCTGACCGTGAATGGGATGTGATTAGCCGATCGATCATCGATCATGTGCCTTGGAAATAAAAAAAAATCCAATTCGCGATCCTGTCCCCCCCCTCCCGCCCAATAAGCATAAGTATAGATAGGTAATTTGATTGCGTGCCCCATGCAAGTTCCAATGCAACCTGCACGCAACCCAAAACCCGCAACCATGTCCCTATCCGAAAAGAAAAAAAAGAAAAAGAAAAAGAAAAGAAAAAAAAAAAAAGTTAATCCGCGATTCACGAAAAAAAAGCGACCGACAATATCCGACCGATTGCATAAGTGAAAGTGCACATGACATAAATCGTTTAATGTCAACGCATTGTTGCACAAGAGAAAGTGTGCATTCGAGTTCATTTTATATCACGTCCGGTCGGTCGGCTGGAATCCGTGAGCAGAGATCTGGAACCGCAATTTCCGAAAAAATGCAAGCAATGTCAAGCGGAGTTGGTCAAGGCCTTTTAGCATCTTGGCGCGTCATACTGCACTCGATAATGGAAGGAGAAAATGCAAGTGAATGGCGATGGCGGCAGTACCTGCTTCGCTGGTGGTGTAAGAACAAAAATAAATAAATAAATGAATATA